CTTTCATTCCTCTAAGTCCTCTGTTCTCACCACTTCAAAGACTTTGTTCTGAAGAAGCTAAGATGCTGGCATTCACTGCTTCACAATCTTCTCCCTCTCCAGGACATAGTAATTTTTAAAATCCTGTTTTCCTCATGTTTTAAAATATAATAATAAGTTTATATTTAAGAACCCATTTAATAATAATGAATGTGTTATTATTTTGTATATTAGGCTTTAACAAGTGGCTTTCTTTGCTGTTTCATCTATGTTAACCATAAGATTGTATGACAGCTGTGCAGTGCTCAATATATGTAGGTCACACATTTTTCCCTATTTTTCTTAGCTATAAACATAAATGGATCCAATGTGTTAAGATTTATTAATTCATAGTTCATACATTTATCGATCAAATAACTTTATATATTTATTTTTTTATTAAGTTTATTGGTACAATCTAGGTATACTATACAGTTACATTCATTATTGGGATCCTGTGCCTTTACATGATAGGTGTTGATTATCATTTTTTCCCCTTGTCCCTGCCCTCCCTTCACTCCCTCCTCCCCTCCCCATTTACAAACACTTTTTTCCATTTTTTCAATTTCTTGTATTTTTCTTCTTTCTCTTATAACCTTTCCCCCACCCTTCCCACTTTCCCTACACCTTTAGCCCTTTACTTCCTATTTCATGTTATTAATTATCTCATTAGGATCCTGTGTACTATTATAGTTTTTCACACCAGAGAAACTATTCAGTATTTCAGTTAAAGAAATCTCTGTATGAACATCAAAAATAGGGAATCCTAAAATAAAACTAAAAAGGAAAGTAAAAGAGAAAAGGTAATGATGTAAGAATAAAATAATCCTTAATTCTGAAGATGAAAATGGTCCCTTAACATATTTAAATTGCTTCTTTGTCTTGTAGTCTTATCTTATTCTTTTTTTCATTATTTAGAGAATACTTTATTAGTTTATGCAATCAAATCCATGTAGATATGACCTTCCATATCTAATACAGTGCATTACCCCTGTACAAATGAAAAAAAAATAAAAATAAAAAATTAACATTTCTAGACCAATATGGCTGTCAACTTCTGCACGATGCCAACTCAACACAGTAAATTGGGATAACTTTTTCCAAAGTTGACAGCACACTTAAAGTTTCCAAAAATTCAAATTATATATCTATATGTATATATATATATTTATATTTATATAAAAAGACCAATAATACCAGTATGTTATGCATTGATAGCAGCAACAGTTTTTCCAGATTCTGCAGTCATCTGAACAAAATTATAGACATTCAGCATATTCCATTAAAAAAACAAAAAACAAAGAAACAAAGAAAGGAATGATATCCAGAAAATAGCAAAGTCCTGTTGCTATTGTGGTAATTGGCACCATTTTTTTTTTTAGCATCTTAATCATCATCTGGAAAGAGAACATTCTAGAGTAATATCATTAAAAATAGCTCTGATAAAGCACGGTCACTACTACATATCATAAAGCAGGTGCAAGCTAATTTTACATTCACAGAGGTATGATACAGTACCATCCTACATCAATAATACTAGAATAAGTTTTGGTTTGAAATTTACTTTGTCTGCAAATAAGATTGCTACCCCTGCTTTTTACTGGGCTCCTGTCACATGGAGAATGATTTTCCATCCTTTCACTTTCAGTCTATGGACTTCTTTTTGCACTAGGTGTGTTTCTTCTATATAACATATTGTTGGATTTTGCTTCTTATTCCATTTTGCCAGTCTATTTCTATTGATTGGTGAGTAGAGGCCATTGACATTGATGATTATAACTGATATGTACTGACTTATTATTGTCATGTTATTGGCCTTTTGTTGACTCTTTACCGTTTCACCTTCTCCTTTTAATTTCTTGCCTTGCCTATTTGATTGGCTCTGTTGGGCCTCATGGTGTTGTTGCCTTCATTGTCTTTTTCTAGGATCTTGTTTAGAACTGCTTGTAGTGCTGGTTTGGTATTCATGTAGTTTCTCAGGTGTTCTTTGTCGTGGAAGTACCTTATTTCCCCATCCATTTTGAAAGAGAGTTTTGCTGGATACATCAGTCTAGGTTGGAGGTTGTTCTCTTTTAGTACTTGAAATATCTCACTCCAGGCTCTCCTTGCCCTAAGGGTTTGTGTTGACAAGTCTGCTGTGATTCTGATGGGTTTTCCTTTGCATGTGATTTGTTTCTTTTCTCTTACTGCTT